GAATTGGGAAACCATGTGAACAGATTGGATCCATTGTCCTTGGGGATCGATCTTTCATGTGCTTCGGGAAATTAGTATGTTTAAGTGAGCAAAATTGATTCGATAGTTAGCTACGAATCAGCCAAAGCTTCAGCTTTTACAACGATTAACCATGCACCAAAACCGAATGACAAAAAGTCTATTTGCAAAAATTAGCGGTATACAGCAGTAAAGAGCGAATCCGGAACACTCGTGAGAAAGAGTCTGAATTCGTTCCGCCCAATAGAAACAGCTGACTTTGGAAAAAGAAATTCCCATGTTCCGACGACTATTACCATTTATTTTGCAAATAAAATCCTTCTCGAACGTAAGCAACACTCGTGTTTAATTAAAGGAACAAGATTAAGTGGTCGAAAACGGAACAAACAATCTAAGAACTGCCGTAACTCGGCTTGCGTTGAAATGTGCCAAAGAGAGGTTGGTGTTGGTGTGTTATCCCAGCTAGAAGTTTTGTTTACTTCCGCGAAGTTGTACTGATGATGTTGTCAACCCTGGCTACGAAACATCTGCAATCAAGATTCCCAGCACGGAGAACCCACCGACACCAAAATCCGCATTACGAGCCACAATCATTCCACATTGTATCCATGCCAAAAAGAGGTCGGGAACAACAACAATAATAATAACAATTTCGGAGCGAGAAAATGTCGGCTTGTTCTCAGGTACAAAACAGCGCCAAAGGCTCAGTGGGTTGAAATTAACTGAGTATGGCTTTACTGTGCCAGACAGCTACAATTTAATGTAACCGCAAATTAAGATATTCTGGAGAAGCCATTAAAAAGATTACTTCATTTGACGAGATGCGGCGTAAACACAGTCAGCGTAGAAACAAGGGTATTTTACTCCAGAACGGAGAAAATACTGAAGTTACACAATAAACTGCTTGCTGTACGCCAAAATCAGGAATCGAGAACTTGCTTGAGCTGAACTAGTTTGTTTCTACCTTTTAGAACATAAAACTGAAATCGATAATCGATGCGGAAGCGGACACCGGACGAATTAATAGTTAACTATTTCCAACCAAAGGCAGTACATTTTCTTCGTCCAAACTAGGAGCACGAGGAAGAAACTACATTTTTTCTTGCACTCAAGAAAGACTTAACGTGTGATTTATTCCACATGAATATGCATTCACTGAGATACATAAAGCATTTATTATCTGATCTAATTTGCGGTAAGATAAAGAGATAAGGACATTACGAGCAGTACGATTTGGCTTAGAGATGGATTGTTTCCGAAGCGACAAAACAGTTAAATGGGTAGAATTTTATCAAAAAGTTTTGCAAATCCGTATTCCATTGTCGGACTTGCAAATGATCATAAAATGATCAAATGATCATAAAACCGAAAATGACCGAATCATGCTGACTTGCTTAGGAACATATGCACTGTATACCCGCAGAATCGTGCAATATTACTGAAGAAGTTTGACAAAATATGGCTCAATTACGGGAAACTTGCACAGTATGAAAGTACCGTAATCGTCATCAGAGCATGGTAAAGGATAGGAAAGTGAACACTGTTGACCATTGCCAGGCTCAAAGCAAATACAATTGCTTGGGGAGGATAGGAAGTAGACCTCCAAAAGCCTCAGCTTGGTCGCGGGTGGGTGTCTAGGGTTGCGGTTAGTCACCCATTCCTTGCACCTCGCGAAATGCTCCNATTATGAATCATTCGAAAACAATTGTTCGCCTTCGGACTTGTGTACTGAAATAGTTATATATACGATGGTCTCAAATAGCCTCTGCTGAGGAAGTCCTACTCACTGCTTTCTCGTGGCGGTGTTTTCCCACCAAAGTGAGAAGACAAAAAGCCGACATCCAGGGCTATAACCGGGTTGGTGGACCNGTCATCAGAGCATGGTAAAGGATAGGAAAGTGAACACTGTTGACCATTGCCAGGCTCAAAGCAAATACAATTGCTTGGGGAGGATAGGAAGTAGACCTCCAAAAGCCTCAGCTTGGTCGCGGGTGGGTGTCTAGGGTTGCGGTTAGTCACCCATTCCTTGCACCTCGCGAAATGCTCCCATACGACCAAGCGTCTCAAACAGCCTCTGCTGAGGAAGTCCTACTCACTGCCTTCTTATGGCGGTGTTTTCAAACCAAAGAGAAGGAAGAGACGGTATCCGGGTTGGTGGACCACTAGTAGTTCTCATAGGGGAGTTGGCCAAAACCCCTGATTCCGAAACAACCAAGAAGAGGCGTAAGAACCATACACACATTCCCAGTTGTAGCAGTGGCCACTGGCTCGATTGGGCATCGAAGTGCATCGGGCACCTTGGACTTTTGACCCCGTCTGAAGGGCGTACGATCCGATGAACTGGACACCGTCTCCCAATGGATTGCGGTTTTCGAGCACTGCGCGCTGCTTTGCGGGTCAGGCTTTGGTTAGCCGAAGGCTCCGGTTGTGGATTTCCCAAGAAAATTCACCTGCCTTGGCCTGGGCAACTTGGCAGTATTCGGCCCACTTGCAAATCGTGGAGCGTTTTTCTTTTTATAAAGATTAATGTACCAGGATTTGTTTGGCACAATCTGAGTACATATAACAACCTCTTGAAGCAAGCCGATCCGATTAAAAACAGTAACAACAGTACCATTGTTGATAGTTTCAGTTCGGTTTCAGTTTGTACAACCATTAACCATGCTCTATCGTGCGCCGGTTTTGGTTGCTATCTTTCGGTTGCCCATTTGGATGAACATTAGAAGGAAGACAGGAAAGGTTGAAAGTAGGATCGAAGAGAAGATTGGAAAGTCCAGTGGATTAATGATACAGAGAAATTGAGGAGATCCACGAACGCCACTGTTTACGACACCCAGCCATATCACTCAGTGTCTCTAACCATCGGGTACCACCATCCAGAGGTCCCCATCCAGGGAGCTTAACGGGACCTATGTGACACAGACTCCTGGTTAGGGTTTTCATACCCTCATGTTAAGTCTTAGCTGGACCACCCTGGGCTTTATTCCACGCATTACCTGCCTAGGCAAACATCGCTCGCCCTGGCAACCTATTTGGTGACATGCGTAACACATGCTCCAACCAGTGTAATATATGGAGGTCGACCACGTGCTCCAGTGGACGACCGCGGTTGCCTAAACATTTTCACCGGACCTCAGCATTGCTCGTCCGGCTGCCCCACCAGATTCGTGCAATGCTGCGTAGACAGCGATGTTCAAACACCGACAGTCTATCTTTGTCCTGTTTTCTTAATGGCCAAGTTTCTGTTCCATATAGCAGAACTGGCCGAACTGTCGCGGCATACACTCGACCCTTCACAGACAGCGAGATGTCTCAAGTTAGCAAATGCCAACCGAGCCTTCTGTGCGCGAACTGACGGCTCACTATTGAGTCATTCCATCACCTAGCATGTTTTGTGCCCCAGTTCGGGAGATGAAAAACATGGACTCGGCTAGATCTCTACGTAAAGCTCTTCATAGCTTGCCTTGCCGCTATCGTGTAGCTTATGCTACACCACCTTGGAAAGACAACGGAAAAGGGGGTGCGCTGCGAGACTGATAAACACGGGGAACGTATTCTATTTTGCCTGTTCGCCGAGCTTGACAATTTGTTTGCAAACGTTTCATCCCCAACCGAGGTGACATCATCAGTGCTTGTGCAGTGGGGAACGTAGGCCTGAACCAAAGAAGCCTATTTAGCCAAATTTGCTGTGGAGAGAGGGGCTTCAAACACATAATTCCATTCATGAACGCGAAAAAGTGATTGTAATGTTAGAAACTTTATGGAAGTTTTCCGCTTCAATAAGTTTTCCAATCAGCGCCGAGTGTCTTATTTCGCTCAAGCCCTGGGTTTGTGTGGGGCCACCTTTCCAACTGTGTTACCCCTATCTGCCTAGGTAAGAAAAACAGTAGACCACTCTCAAAGCAGGAGTAATCAATATTCAGCGACAGAAATGCACATCACTTCATTTTCTAAAATCGCTAACCATGCACATTCGTGCGGCGGTTTTGACTCGTCTTTTGGCTGCCCATTTCGATGTAAGAGAAGAGGGAGGATTTGAATGTGCAAATCAGTGTCCAGGTGAAAATAGAGAATTCCAGGGGACTGAGGTTGTAAGGAGATTGAGTAGATCCACGAGCACCACTGTTTACCACGCTCAGACACATCACCTTATGTCTCTAACCGTCGGTTATGCTGATTCCGAAGTCCCCAGTTAGGAAGCCTAACGCTTTCTGGTGTGTCATGTGAACTCTCAACAAGGTCACTCCATGCTATCGGCTTATTAGGAGATTTGGTTCAGTCGGAACACGGAATACTCGTACTCATCCCTGACTCACTCGAGCGCCATAGAGAAAATACCAGATGTGAACAACTGGGGACGGTCTTGCTGACCATTTGAAACGAACCTCACCGATGTGGTCACCACTGCCACAATGCATCTGAGTGAACAGTGAACAATTAGGCTTCCTAACGAATAGCAATGGTCGTAGTGTGTTTTCCGACGGTGTCAAGCGGTCAATTTTTACGATTGACAAAATATGACCTGTGTGCATGTGTGATATTTCGCTACCACAAAAAACCATCTCTCCTCGCTACACACACACGCACAAACACACAGTAATGACATTTTCGTGATGTGATTGATGCCAATGCTTAAACCCTGATATTATTTCAGTAGTCCATTCATTTTATGAATACGATTTTCCAACTGTATCGAATTTTTTAAGGAATAAAATCAAATGAAAATAACAGTGAAAATTACCAGCGGACGAATATCCATAACACAAACCAGATTGTGGACCAAAAACTCGAAAATAACATGGGTCGGAACACTGACGAAAAGGACCAGCTGGTACGTCCAAACGGTTGTGAGAAAGAGATCAGTCGACTTGTTTTTGTCACAACACACGAACACAGCTATTTGTTTTACTACTCGTTTTGAGGGGCAAAATACGAAGGGGTACGAGAGTGGGAACAAAAAAACACAACAACTAGACTCCAGCTCAGAAAAGAACGGCCGTCGTGCACATGAAAACCGGTCGAATGGTTCCGACCTTGTTTGAACAAGCGATTGTGGTATAGAAACTCACTTCACCCCGCTGTCGGCATTCGTTTAGTGAATTGCCCAGTGACTGTAGTTCCATGCACAAGTCCAGAATCGCTTTTCGTTCCGATTCACTGGACGAGAAACTGGCTAGGCGTTGCGCAGCACTGATCACTTGATGTAAGGCTTTCTCACCGGCGCTGTCCACAGCCGTCTGAGAATGGTTCAAGCGGATAATGCATGTGTTCGATTAGATACCATCAACACGGACATCAACCAATCAAAAACAAACTAAAGTGGAAAGAATTCTGTGAGCAGGTAATGGATAAAACAAATATTGGGGATAATTGCAGTAGCATAAACTTTTGGATCACAGAGGAACTAACGCAATCATCGGGAACTGTGATTGTAGACTGTGGTTATATATAGACCGACAATTGATAGCAATTTGTATATTCTTAGTATACAATAAAAGAGACTGATAATAGGGAAAGCCAGTGACCCTTGTGAAACGATCTACAACAGTACGTTAGCCAGATGCTCTTGAAAGTTAATAAATCTGTTCATCCCTTTAGTTCTTCATCATGACTGCTAACTATCGCACTGACACCGTGTTCCTAGAATATCCAATTGTCGGTCATCGTTGGATGATATCCGGTGTATCGTTTCCCGTGATCTGGACCAGAGGCCGTTATGACGGGAATTAGTCAAAACGTCCACGGATGCGGCAGAAACAGGTACACACGGGCACGATGTGTGAGGCTGTACGAGATGAGGCGAACATGCACTATCAAGAAAGGATCCGTCCTATGCATCACTTAGACAATTTAGCAAGCTGAATGTATGCGCTAGTGGACAGATAGATGGATGGACAAGTGGATAAATGGGCAAGTCATAGATAGGTATTCTGGCTAACCCACAATGGGCCAGAGGATTCGGGATGAAGAAAGATGAGACCGAGACCCGTGTCGCGTATGCACACGATTCTACCGATACAGCCATTCAATGTTTGCAGTGCACCCGAACGGACAGGATCGATCGATCCACCTTTGCGTTTACCTATATAAATCTGTTTATATGTTGTCGCGTTTGTATGCGGGTATGCACGGGTACGACAGTTAGGTCGTGGAATATATGACAGCTCTAAGATAATGGTGACGATGTTCCTCAAGGTTTTGCTCTGGTGCTTTCAGCTCGGCAAACGAATCTAAGAAAAATAGACGACTGGATTACAATTAGGGATGAAGACGGAGAACCGAGCAATAGAACACGGATGGTAACGGAGAACGGTCAATCAGAAGAGATAAAACAAGGTTGAACGTGTTTCCTCTCCCCCCTCCCCCTCCCCACACACACATTCAGCGGATGAAGAAATTTCATTGGACTACATACACTGAAATACAACACAGAAACGCAGCACAGTTGGCAACGAAAGAGAAAGGTCAATATTTCCCACAACGCAGATAATACCGGATTGATCTCTACCAACCGTTTTGTATCGTAGTCAAACCAACTAACCTTTATGAACTTTTAATGCACACCTGACATAGTTGACATCGCAAAAGATAATGAGTATAAATGGAGCATCATAAAGTGTATCAGAAGACCTTGCGATTACTCAAAAGGTCAAATCTCATGGCAAGGTTTCCTCAATCCAATTATCCGCGCGTCTTAGTTGAAAAGTTACCTTGTCCTGACCTTATGTTAACTTGCTGAATGCGTTATGCATTACCTCACTGTCGCAAAATACAAGTAAAAAACCATTCGTCAGAAAAAAGAACTGTGATCCCTTTTATTGGAATTTGTTCGACGAACCCTCTCGCACGCACCGAGCAAAATGTGACTACCAATAATCACCAGAATGAGACACATTTTGCCATGAACATTTACGGCTCATGTTATCAGCAGCAAACAAAAGCCAAAGCCGGTTGATAGAAAATTCTTCGGAGCCTCAAATTCAGATGAAAAACAACAAACACAGGTCATCTCTGTGTGGAAACAAGATCTCTTGCAACTCTTGTGGATTAATTTATACATGGCACCGTGGCAACCATAAAAAGGATGAAAGTACTTGGATTTGCCCAATGTGAAATAGGAGGTACCCTATATTCATCGAGTCAATGGATTGCTACAATAACAATGCTCGATTCATGTTACCAGCGATCTTTCAAAACAGTTAAGGGTCAGTGGAAAATATCGATTGGAAATGGATAAGTAACAAAATTTAGGTCTAATCTAAATTTAGCTTTATTTTACTACGCTGAGTAAAGGAGGCACGACCAAGTTAAATTCAGTTGCTTAAATTGCAAAATATGCAGCTTAAATTTTAAAATATTTGAATCGCACTCGCCTGTTCATGAAATTCATTTGATACGTCAGTGTTTACTCTTTTAAAAGAAAACAATTTATGGTAATTTCATCACGGTCAATAATCCTCTCTGGTTGAGTGTTGATCATACAAAACAAACTAACCGACCGGGAACAGTTCAGACAATGAACAGATAACCAGGATCACCCTCTAGCATGAAACAATAGAATAGCATAAAAGCAATTTGTGAAAATTTGATATATTGTGCGAATTTCTTAATATGCAGTCTCCGTGTATCAGTACCACAAATCAAACTTAATTGGTCCAAGTTGTTTAGAATGTGCGCCCATCTGGTTGTTCTTCTCGGCGTACATCGTTTGACAATCACCAAACGCACACCCCCGGAGCTCAGAATGAGCGTAGATGGTTAAATTAGTGCTTCATACTGGTGCACATAGTGATGGGGGACTTGGAAATCGGTCAAAATATCGGAACAAACCGATAACGGAAATGATATTTGTTCGTCAGACTTATTTGACCGATAACAACGCTCAGTGTTGACAATCATTCCGATCAATTAGCCCTGGAAACCGCCAGGTAGTTCAGATAAAGGGTGGTGTTATTTTAAACAGAATACTTACACATCTTAAATTGGTGTTTGTAAACATTAAACATATGCGAGATTGACAATGATGGTGGTAGGAACAGTTATTTTTAGGTTACTATTTGCTGGTGAAATCACATTAATAAGGCTGTTTCAGAGAATTTGGTTCACTGCATGGGGACAGTCAATGGAAATGATAAATATCTCATTCATGGTCTTCCTCATTTCAATTACTGTCAATATCAATAGCGATCAAACTACTCGGGTATCGAAAGGAAAATCAAACATGGTGGCGCAACAGGGAACGGAATTTCAGCTCAAAATGTTCATATGATGAGGTTGTCGTGTAAATGAGTCGTGAACTGAAAAGCTGGGAAGCACTGAACAGGTGTTTCGACCTGATTGGCTCTCATCCACAGTGCGAATCCATCGACCCGAATGGTGCTCGAACTCGGAACCTCACTGATCGATGGGTTCACACTGCGGATGAGTACCCAACCAAGTCGGAAAAGTGGTCCAGTGCTTCCCAGCTTTTCAGCTCAAGACTCATTTACACGACGAATTCACTATAGAAACAAATCAAAATGTTCAATTGGATTCCGGATGTGAAACAGCATGTGACCAGTCAGTAAACCAAAATCGATCGACACAACACCAGTGGTCACTTGTATGCAGGAGGAAGTGCGCTAGACACAGGCAGTGAATGAATCGGCCGGATGAGTCACGCGTGCATTGGCGCATCACCTGGGACCAAGCCTGTGCACATATATCCCTGGGAGGACCCAAAAATAGAAGCCCGAGGCCACTGGAATTCTGAAAACCACTTGTAACCGTGTCCTAATCCACAGGCCGTTTCACCTTTAGCCATTAATCCGATTGAAAAAGGTCAACGCATACGATGGGAGAGGCGGAGTGACGAGTGTATCTGGGCGAAGACTGTACACACACACACACACATGTGAATTGCCTTTCGATCTACTCGGTAAAGTTTATTGATTCGAACAGTTATTTGGACATACGCGCACCCACGTGCAAACGAGCGTGTACATGGCGTGCGCGGGAATTCAAAGCTCCGGCAACCTAACATCACAGAAGTGCGGGTGAAATACAAACAAGCACCGAGCTAAACGGGTTACTGTTCATGCAAACATACATAGTCTGGTTAAAGGAATTTCGTGTTAGCAACCAGAAACTATTTCAACTAACGTTATTGCTAACATCAAAGTATTGGATTCTCTCATATTTCGGGACTCTGGCTAACCTGAGAGCAATGGAGGGAGTGGATCAGCAAAGCCACACAAACTGATGGTACCAAGACTGCACACATTAAGTCTAACGCCAAATAGTTGGCAGTATATCTTTCGTGGATTATTTTAGTGACTGTACACGAAATTTTTTTCTTCGATTATTTCCGCACACTCATTCACTAATGTTTGTGCACCCTAACAACCGAAAAACGCTTCAAATTTTTCATAAGTGAGATATTTGTGAAATATTTCAGTTTGGTAATATTGGTCATTGTCCCGTGTTATCCTGATTATACCGTGCAGTTAGCAAAATTCATTTCAGTCTGTACCACCACTGAACTGGCATTTCCGTGTGCTGGTTTCAGATGCAATCTTTGAGAAGAGAATGGATCAAACAACTGACAGAGTAATACAAAATGATGATGAACTGAATGCGCTTAAACAGTGAGTAGACACAATATTAAACTGTGAAAAAGAAACGCATCATAGAGGAAAGTTCGTCCGTTCTTGAGTAATCGTATATACATATACAAAATGAATCTTCCAGTTATAGATACGCTTAAGGGAAAACCTACATTTGGATTTCTTAACCATTCGTCTGCAAAGTGGAGCCGACTATCTAATGTGGCCTTGGTTACGTGAATGGCTGCCAAATCGTCATCGAATAATTCCGAAGCATCAGTCTCTGTGAGCTGGAGGCCTCTGATAATTTCTTGTATTTCATCACACATTTCTGAGACTAGAAAGTCACGGTTGGCCTGGCATTCCGCTGCTCCGGGAAGATCTGTGTAGAGCAGTGTGCAAGAAAGAAATCGGAGGCGAAGTTTAGCAGAACGCGTATAGAAAAGTTCACTGATCAAATGATTCCTATAAAAGGGCAGAAAAAACGGTTGAAACAATTGGTAATTAGTGGATTTACGTCCACGGGGAACGGAATAATGGAGGCTACTTACGGAGATTTCGTCTCATTGTGTAGCCAGTAACTGGTTTTCAAAAATTAAAGCTTGTAGACAGTGAATTCAATGAGGTCATATTGTGTGACATGGATGATCAAGTATAAGTGAACAAATTCTCACGTATCACTCACTATTCTGAATTATGAAAAGTTCAGTTGCCTTGGTTGGATTTGAACCCACGCTTGGACGCCGACTACGCTTTTACACAGCGCACGTTCTACCAGCTGGGCTACGACGCCATATCGAGAGCACTGATCCTCTCACATTTGGAATACCCATCCAAATTGCATAGGTATATAGAATCCATCAATTGACAAGTTGAATGCCACGACAGGTTTTTATTAGAGACCACTGGAGTCTACCAACTAAATTCAAAGGGAAGGTACTTGTTCATTTATGTTGTTTATCAGATTCAAGTTTTAGGTTTTGAAGAGCGTGCGCTGTACAAAAGTATAGGCTACCTTTCACACTTCAAAGCTTTCACCATTGTCTGCCGTTTAGCCTCCTCACTGGAAGATTGCCGAAATTCACTCGTTCATAGCTTAGCGTTATCATAAACTCTGTCTCGACATCACATCCTTCAGGTTGCAAGTAACAACCAAGCATCGCACAAGTCATGGAACACTGAGAACTGGAAGTGACTGGACCGAAAGTATGGTAACCGTAATGCCTTTATTTCAACTTAACTAAAAATACATGCATATATGTATATATATATAGGTCTCAGCTGAACCGTGTTCTTTGGTTCTCAATCTGGTCTAGCGCAACGAGCGTGTAATTTGTACGCTTTTTACCCTCAAACGAAATATCAAACTAGGTTTAACATAAAATCGCGCACAATCATACACCCAGGTGTTTATCACCCTCGTATGGGCGAATTGTTCAATAGGCTTTCAGTGGCTATGGGATACGTCAGCTAGTACATGTGAAACGCCCCGGTGTCTCATCCTAACTATCACTTTCATTCTTTTGGATTTAGAAATTTTTTCACCATACCCGTGTGCGATCAATAGCCGAAGTGATGAACCAGATAGAAACAAGGACCTATTGTCTGACTGAAATAACGGGTAACCTAAGCCCACAGAACACAAGTCCCGATTGAGTGGGTGTGACAGTGAGCCGTAGGACAGCGAATATGCCTAATGCCAAATGTAACTGGCGGTGGTAGGTGTTGAGATAATACTCACTTGTGATTAGTTTGGAAAAAGATGCGATCGGCGGTTTCCTTCAACGGCCAAAAATGAACAAGACTTGTTGGAGCGAATAGCTGCTGTTCGGTATGGTATCAGAATGCACATCCAACAGTGGACCGTTCCACCAAATATCCTGTGTGCGTATGGGAATGCTGCAGACTCGTTCCAAATGAGATATTTTGTTGTACGAATGACAATTTACCGATACCCTAATAGTTATTCGTAATAAACAACTTTCCTTTACCGGGCACCGCAGGGTTCTGACTTCAATCCTTACGACTCAAAGCAGGCCCGTGACAGCGACAAACACTTCTTTTCTATGACACACCTAAGTGTGATGAACAGCAGACGGGACGAACCCTATAGTCACGAGGACCTGCTGTGCAGCGGTGGAAACTGGTAACCTAAGCCCCGGGACTTGCAGTGGCGAACTACATAAAGCCCCGATAGGTTAGGCGTGGTATGGCTCTCAAATTCAATTTTCTTTTTTCCAGCTCGCAATCAAATTTAACAATACAGTGTAACAGCGATGTGCATAACGGATTGACACGAATAGCACTTCAATTCCTAACAATCTTATCAAACGTGCGTCAGTCACGCAAATCTTACTCAGACGGAAAATCTTACAAATTAAAACTGCAAAATTTGCTATCAAGAAAAATTTGATTCCTTCGCGAATTCTCGCCGCTATATATTGTCAAAGGCGAAAACGTGGTCTGCCCAACCTCGACCAGGTCTAAAACTAGCCTGATTCTCGCGTGTGCATCGTTCATGTGCGGCAAACAATTGACGGAGTATAACACCAGCGAGAATCTTAAAGACAGTGTTGATTAAACTAATTCCCCTGTGGTTTCTCAAGAGAATCTGTTACCTTTCTTGTTATTCGGTAAGATGACTGATTCGTGTCGTTCATTTGAAACCTGTTCCCTCTCCCACATTGAGCCCAGGAGTTTCGTCAACTCTAAAACCAAGGTTAGACATCCATCCTTAAAAACTGATGATCACAGACCATCTGGGCCGGAAGCTTTATATCTTTTGAGATAGCTTATTTCTCTTGAAACCATTTCACGTGGAGGACTGATATCAACTGGCAGTAGTTACCCAGCCGGGATGGGGGTTGAAAAGCCTAATACCAATGGGTGCTAGGTGAACCGAGTCTCGAAATGTTAAGCCCATCTTTCAAGACGGTGTTGCTTACTGTGAATCAGTATTCCGTCAACATTGTATTGCACGAATCTGGTGGGAAAACCGGACGGGCAATGATGAGGTTAGGCGTAGAGTTTTAGGTATTCGCGGTCGTCCACTGAATCAAGTAGTCAATCTCCATAGATTATGTTGGTTGGGGCAAGTGTTACGGATGTCACCAAATTGGTTGTCACGGCCAGCGAACCCATACGTGATTCGTTGTCAACCGAGTCGAAGGCTCCTTTTAGGTCAAGGAACACAACAACCGTTGGTCGATGGTGTGTATTGCGTAGTTTGCGTACTTGATGCAGCGTGGAGATTTGGTAGATGCAACCACGACCTGGTCGAAATCCTGCTTGATGTTTGGGATATTCATTTCCCTTTAGGGTGTCAGACTGGTAAGTATCACAGAAGCTAGCCATTTTGTTATGATGGGAACTAAAGTTATCCCACAGTGGTTTGCGCAGTCGTCGCGTAGTCCCTTCTTGAAGATCAGAATGATCACCAATTCACCCCAGGATAACCGGGTACGCTCTTCCAACCATATTCTGTGAAGGAAACTAGTGATAAAGTCTGCGAGAGTCAACCCCAACTTAAAACTAATGGGGAGACGCCCGTTAGGTCCAACCGCCTCTTTTTTTAGATATTGAAAATAGCCCCATAATTACAGTTCTGCTGTTGGCTGACCTTATATATATATATATATATGTGTGTGTGTGTGTTATGAAATATTCTAGAAAGACTATCAAGTCACGTTTGTAGCATCTAACCCACTTACAAAAACATTAGATCATCGCACTGATTCTTCAATGGACTTGGGCAGCTACATCTCACCCGGCAGACTAATCACTGATGAAGTGTCGGCACACATACAGAAGGCTCGATTGGCATTCACCAACTTGGGGTATCTCTGGCGCAGTCGCGACATCCGGCTGTTCATGAAGGGTCGAGTGTAAACCGCAGCAGTTCGGCCAGTTCCGCTATACGGTGAAGAAACTTGGCCATTAGGGAAACGGGATAAAAAATAGATTATCAGCTTTTGAACACCGCTGTCTACGCCGTGCAGTACGAGTCTGATGGACAAATCGGACAAGCAATGCTGAGGTTAGGCAAAGTTTTAGTCGATCGCGGTCGCCCCATGGAACAAGTGGTCGACCTTCATAAACTCCGTTGCTTGGGACATGCTTTGCGCATGTAACGAAATAGGTTGTTATTTACCGAGGCAAACAGCGGATAGAAAACAGTAAAGGGTGGTCAAACTCAGACCTGGTATGAGGATATGAAAAACGCGACCAAGAATCTTGCTCATATGGGCTGCGTTAGGTTCTCTGGATAGAAAACCTCGGATCATCGTAACCGGTGGTTAGAGAAGCTTCCATTTGACTTTTTATCTAATCGGGAGGTCATGAGACAGCAACTAAAAGCGGCGCACGACAGTGCAACGTTAATAGACTTAAAAACTGAACTGATGCTTTGAGATTATACCATTTTTTTTGTCGATTGCAACACTTCTACTCCAACGGACAAACCGCAATCCAATTTAGTTTTGACAAGCATCACCTTTCTACTGTCAAGCGACAGTTTTGGTTATCTTTTGCCTACCGCTTTAGTCGATTAACAAGGAAGGAGTGAGAGTTTAATGTTAATAGCACCACAAATTTTTAAATACAGAAAGCAAGTAGATACAAAGGCATGACAGTTTACGTTACTTGACTGTCTGCAAATAACTGATCTAATCTACCCCGAGCTCCTCAAATAACCAAACCTATATGACTGTGTCCCCTGGTCAGAGTTTTCAACCCAACTCTAATTTATTTGCAAATATCACCTGTTTTAGTAAGCATCGTACTCTGGAGAAGCCTATCTGGTGATATATACAACAAGTGCCCCAATCATCTCATTCTACGGAAGTCAAGCACTAGTCTTTTTCTCTTCCTACTGAACAAAGAAAGTTTGTTTTCATCAGTCTTCGGGAAATGATGTCTCTGAAACAAACCGGCAGTACAGCAGTAACATACATTTCACCCTTCATGGAAAACGAAGTACCGCACCAAGACGACTAACTTTATCTTTCTCGAGACGATTTATTAAGCTCGACCTCCAACCAATTTGAAGTTATTTCTTTTCAATAAAGTCAAAGCTTACTGTTTTTTGATAAACTAGTCAACTGGCCATTACAACCATATGGAGTTATTTGGGCTCTGCAATCCGGTTTTGATCTCATCAAACAGAAAGTATGCTAAGTTTATTTACCTGCTCCTCATCTCGGTTGGGTCATTGGTGTGGGTAGTATGTTGGCAGATAGCGCTCTTTGCCGTCCTAGTTTCACCGTGCCTGCGTATT